TCACAAGAACAGACTCCGCACAGAAGTTGACGAGATTTGGAATGTCTGCACGAATCTTTGGACCCAGGGAAGAGATTCAGAATGGCGAGCATAGGCAGGCGCCGTATCATGGACATTATCTCACCAAGTAGATCCTAGCAGAGAACGACCCCGGTCAATACCTCAAGCCAAGCCTCATCTGGAAGCAATCTGATCCGTGGAGGTAGCTAGCGCTTATCACTTACATTCTTCCACCCACGAGACGCGTAGTGGTGTCTCGTGGAGGGTAGAGGTGAAGGATATTCTACCACAATCAATGGCTTCCGATGTTGCTTGATCGGGTAACGTCTGGCTCAAGATCAGACGAAATACAATATATTCAGCAGTCCGGACAAGGCGCGTTAAGGCCGATGTGCCTGGCGCTCTTTTCTCCCAACCTAACTTACGCGATATTGGAGTTGGCAAATTATCATGGGTGGGACTTGGAATCATGTTGGTATATGTACAGAATCGTCGTGAACAACCAACTGGAGAAGCGTAAGAGTTGATTTTGGCATGCTAAGGTACAGATCAAAGTTCATGACATCAGAACTAAACCCAGCCCAGAGCTCACGTCATTATTGTTGTACACACTCATAATTCTATTGTAGAATTTATGGGTTCTGCTTGACCCACTCAACACCCTTCTTGATGTTCTTGGCGAGATCAGCGACGCAGGCGTCGAGGAGCTTCTGCTCGTGGTCGGTGATCTTGCCAACGGGGTGGATCTTCTCAACACCGTTGGGGCCGAGCTCGACGTTGGTGGAGAAGTACTCGCAGCCCTGGTCCTTGAAGAGAGGAGAGTCGACAAAGGTGGGCTCGATGACGTTCTTCTGGCCTTGGGCAGCCTTGAGGAGCGACTCGGCGAAGCGGGCACCGGCCATGGCCATGGAGAGAGTGGCAGAGCCAGCTCCGTCCTTGGCCTGGACAACCTCGTCACCACCGAACTGGACGCGCTTGATGTACTCGGCGAGCTGCTCGCCCTCGAGGTTGTATCCGGACTGGGACAGGAGGGGAACGATGGTAGCGCCGGAGTGGCCACCGATGACGGTGATGTTCTCGGTGGCGGGGTCGGTGTTCTTGAGTTGCGAGATGAAGCGCGAGGCACGGACAACGTCGAGGGTGGTGACACCGAAGAGGCGCTTGGGGTTGTAGACGCCCTTGGACTTGAAGACCTCGGCGGTGATGGGGACGGTGGAGTTGACCTAGATGGATTAGATTATGCTTTATCGAGTCGTAATTGTAGAACGTACGGGGTTGGAGATGATCAAGATGTTGGCCTCGGGGGCGTGGTCGGCGCAGGCCTTGGCCAAGTCGCGGACGATGGAGGCGTTGGTGTTGAACAAGTCTGCCGGTGTTAGACGTGTCGGCAGTATCAGTGACTTCTATGCTCACCATCACGAGTCATGCCGGGCTTGCGGGGAACACCAGCGGGGATGACGACGATCTCAGCACCCTTGAGAGCGTCTGCGAGACCTGAGGGAGTGGCCTCATGACCAGTGACCTTGTCGAGTATCAGTAGACGGTTCGCGCGTGGCTACGGAGGGATGGCGTACCTCGCTCTTGGTGTTGATGTGGCCAATGTCGGCAGCGACACCTGGATGAAGTCAGAATTGGACGTCGTATATTCAATTGACTGAGCTTACCGGGAGCTAGACGGATGTCGTAGAGGGAGAGCTTGCTAACCCTGGGGTTGAGCTTGAGCAGCAGGGACAATGGCTGGCCAATACCACCAGCGGCGCCGAGAACGGTGACCTTGGAGTTCTACAGTGCATGCAGTTAGCATCTTGTGCTTGGATTGTCCCAATGGCGTTGCATTGAGGCATTGAACCGCCCCACCACAAAACATCGCGGGTTCCGGGAATAGGCCTACCTGGCGGGCCGAGGCCGAGAAGCAGCGGCGCTGGGCCTGGAAGAAAGCTTGCCTGGCAGCGAACATGATGTCTGTGAGAGGCGTTGAGGAGATGGAGACTGGGTTGGACGGGTGGAGAGGTGGTGGTGCAGGAATGCTGCGGAGGTTTTGCGAATCTTGACGGTCAGTGCTTCTTCGGCTGGGCGTCGGAGCTACGGCTGACAGCCGCTCGCAGACTTCTCCCCTCCCGCGATGCTTAATTCCAAGTCTACCACAATTTCATTCACATGCGCTAACACAATGTGCAGTCTAATTTGTGCTCGTTCACTCGTTTAGATAGACCGATAACTGCGTCTGTGTGCCCAGGCACTTTCACCACTCACAGCCACATGCATCGCATCGCTTAAGCTTACTCCAATCGCAGTCCATCGCAAGTCCTCCGTAACACTATACACTGTCGCTGTATGCCTTACCACGCTACCAGACCAATGGCATTCCGTAGCGGTGAGTCGAAGAAGCTAAAAGTGATGTGTCGTAGAATAGTCCCGAGTTAAAGCCACGCCTTGACTCACTGTGGCAGTGCATGTGGTAAGTACACTATATACTGCTCCCTGAGGACCTCGACCTCAAGCACCATCAGTCGACACCAGCAATAACGCAACTATCGTGGCTTCCTCAGTGACAGAAAGCACGGACCTACGCGACATCCTTGAGAACACAATGGCAACCACAGATCGAGCCGAATCTTCAGTCCCAGAACTCCAAGCAGCATTTGGTTCAATACTGCTCGCCCGCCCAACACCAGCAGCGCCTCCACCTTCAGAGCCACCCTCCTACATCGTGGGACGCGGTTGTTCTGGCAAAGGTATCCCCCCATGGTCTCTGGACAGGGTTCAGCTACCCAAGTGGACCGGCGCATTCAAGCTGTTCGACTTCCCACGCGAACTTCGAGACAGAATCTTCCACTACGTTGTCTACCGCCCAGAAGGCATATACTACAATGCGCACCGCAATCCAGATCTGAAGGATATCGGGCCGTGCGAAGACGCTATCAACCTTTTCCTCGTTTCCAGACAGGTCTACCATGAGGCGATGCAAGCATTTGGGCGCTCCAACACTATTGCGCTATCTGCCAAGTACAGCCCACGAGAAGGACTTCACAAGCCACTCAGCGGCTTGCTTCGTCTATTCCCTGACCGTGCTGCTGCTACGGCAACGAAGATAAGGCACCTGTACCATGATACGGTACCCCGACCGTATGGAAGGTACGGCATAGCGCCGAGCCATAACAGTCTGTTCGATGGAGGCGATGGTACCGGTCATTTCCGCAAGCGTCAGCAACCTGGAGAGACTTTCCTGGAGATATTGCGGGATGCGCATACCCTCACGCAGCACTTCCCTAAGCTGAGCACCTTCGAAGCGGCTTGGGAGGTCGGCCCTGGTTTTTACGAGTACCCGATACCAGAATGTGTCGTGCGTGACATCGCGACATTCTTATACAAAGGCGGCAGCCATGAAGAGGCTGTAGATATGTGGTTGCATCTCATGAGGGGCTGGGTGCAGGGGGCTAACGTGGTTCCGCTGGCATGCGTCTGGTTTGAGTGCCGAGGATTCGGTGCTGATGGATTCGGTGAGGACATGGATGAAGCTGCGAATGAAGCGTATCAGAAAGTGGTGAAGGAGTTGCAGAATAGGGAGGACATTGAGGCTAGTGGGGCGCTGTGGCTCGAAGAGATGGAGGAAGCGAGCAGGAGCAGGAAGAAGAAGGGCAAGGGAAAGACGGCGCGGAAGTGAACGCCGTCGATACAGACAGGAGCCTGGCTCACTGAAACCAATTGCTAGAACCTATAGAGCAAAGCATGTGTCATACTGATTTCCCAGTGACATCAGCGGGACTGAGAAAGCAACAGGCGATGTCGTTCGAATTCCTTCATCCAAGTCACTTATCAACAACCTCCACTCCTGTAGAGGACATGTTGTTCTCTACTCCACGTACGCTAGGGTAAATCGGCATCGAGCGAGTAACACGATGAGGGGAAGCGTTCGCTTTTGTACTCTTCCGTGAATTATGCGGTTCCTTCAATAGTTGAATCTTAACCCACCGCCACTGATAGGAGTATGACCTCTGGTGGGTGGGACCTTCTGCTTGAGGAAAGCATGTTCCGGTCAGCTGTAGGCGCTATGATGGTCGCACAGCATGCTTGCCCCATATCTCGCGAATCCAAGCTCTTTAGTGGCTGAAATCACACTCCTTCATGTACCAAAAGCGGACGCAGCAATAGCGGTGTTCTTGGGGGTGTGAGCTGTTTAGTGCGGAGACGGCCGGGGAACTTCGAATGTGGCTTCTGGGGGCGCGCCTCAATTCAAGTACACAAATCTGGGGATTCAGGAACGCGCAATAAGCCCGAGGAAAATCCTTTTCCTCCGAAGTCCTCACGAACGATTGCCGTAGACCCCTATTTGCATGGCGCCAGCGGATCGTTTTCCGTCGGGGAGAGCGAAAAAGGGCTTCCGGGAAAGATCGCAGGCTAGCACCCAACATCGCCTAGCACAGTCTCGTCCGACATCACAGTGCAGCTTCAGGCCCTTCCATTCACGCTTCTCCGCACTACAGAGTCTGACGGATCCGCCAGAACCGACTCACCTCACACACTTCGCACCAGCGGTTTCGCGGGTCCACTTCCCACCCGGCGAACATTCTACCGCCAGCATAAGAACGCTCGTGCTCCCCCCCGAGTTTCCCCAAAGAAAGCCGCGAGTCAATTTTCGACATCCTTAGTCCATGCACGTTTTGAGCTCAGACTACGAAAATTTCCCAGCGGATTGCGATTTCTTGACAACACGAATCAAATCTTTTACCGCCTCTTTTACTCAACGTTTTTCCCCATCATCATATGCGTAAAGTATATATGTAAACCCGACTGGCCTAGCGACACATACCCTTTCCTGAGCGACAAACTTCCACAGCGACATCTTTTCTTCTCTTGATCATTGACAAGCTTAATTCCATAGCGACACATCCTGAGCGACTTCTTTGCCCAGCGACTCTACTTCCTGAGCGACATTTCACTGCGACAGACCGACCACTTCCCAAGCAATTCAATCGCCAAACTCAACAACATACACCAAGATGTCTTGCACCCAAGCAACTCAACCATTCCGCTTCCTGGACCTGCCTGGAGAAATCAGAAACAACATCTACGATCTGCTTCTATGCTCCTGGGAAGATGAACTCGAGCAAGACCCCAGCATGAGCAGCAAGCTGAGCCGACGCAGCCCAAGCAACCCATCACCCTCGCTCCTCCGCGCCAACAAGCAGATCTACGCTGAAGCGTCAGACTACATGATCAAGCGCAACCAATTCGTCCGCATCACATGCCGAGGTCTGGACTCCCGCAACCTGTTCCTCGGCGAAGGCATCCCCGTCATAACAACCGATGCGCGCAAAGTAAGCGTATTCGACGGCCACGTCATGCACATCACGCTATCCAAGCCCGCGTTCACGCCATCGCCGTTCCAGTTCTCCGAATTTGAGATCATGATGCTCCGATCAGATCTGCCGAAATTATGCGAGCAGCTGGACATCGAAACCGTAATGGCAGATGCGAACTCAACGACCACAGAACACGCCTCCATCAATGCCACCATCCGTCTCAACTACGCGCAAACCCGTTTCTTCACCCCGAAGATCCAGGAACGTCTCCTAGAGCCCATTGCGACATGTCTGCGCGGCATCCCCAACATGCGTATCTCCGGCTTCGTCGATCCCGCCCTCGCAGACAGCGTGCGCACGCAAGTCGCGCAACCCCGCTGGACAGACCCCGAGTCCACAATCGAAGAAATCGGCACCGGCGTCGACGTCGGGAAGCGCCAATGGCAACAATCTAATTTCTACGCAGCCTCTGAATCTTGGGCTTACGCCATGCGCACCCTCGAGCGCATGCGCCACTCCTCCTCCTGGGCGGGCCTGCAAAAAGCCGGCGGCGAGGATTTCGTGAACAAAACCGCCGATCTTTATTTCACCCTCAACCTCTTCCACGCGCAATTCCTGCAGGTCGATATGGCGAACGACGCATCTCAGGGACCCCTTGTGCAGCGCAATGGCCGTGTTGCGATTCAGCATTTGCGCAAGTGCGAAACGGCTGCTGCGCGGTTTGCGCAGCATGCGGGTGCGACGTGGACACCGAGTAATGCACAGAGCGCTAAGATGCTGTACAGGCATGCGAGGTGTTTGAGGTTGATGCGCGATGAGAAGAGCAGTGTTAAGGCGGTTACGTTGATTGAAGAGGCGGCTGCGCTGCAGCCGACGGATTTGGCGATTCGGGATGAGAAGGATGCTGTGCTTACTTGGGAGGCTGAAATTGAGGAGGCGAGGAGAGTGGTTGTGGAGCAGAACCAGCAGGCACAACAAGATCAGAGGGGGGTTTGGTCGTCGATCTGGGGCGCGGTTGCGGAGCTGGCCTCGTGAGCTGTGTTATTATGCTCTTTCTAGTTTTGATACCCAATATCTATTCGTTCTTCGCTGGGCGGGTTTGCGGCCAGCTACACACAACTTCACGAATACCCATCATTATGCGTGTGTCTGATCGTCGCCGGTAATGCAAGAGTTGGGATCTGCGTTGGATGTCGTGTGAGTGCTGATCAGCAGTCGTGGTATCGGACCGCTGTCAGCTGGACAGCTGCTAAATCGCTCATCGGGACATCGAGGGAAGAGACTACGGTCCAGACGAACGCAGAGGGAGGTATAGCCCAAGGCAGAGCGATGACGTCGACAACAAATGCATACATGAGCTTGACCCAGATATGTTTTGGGAACGAGAGTACGTTGGCACTAACCGCAGTAGACCACTAGCTCGCGATCAGAAGACGTATAAATACCTCCTCTGCGTTCTCATTCTCTATTTCTTCTCATCCACACCTATACTACAAGTCTTCGAAATGTAGCGGAAAGACCTCCATGAGAAGGGAGTTTTCAAAAAGCTGACATGATTGGGCTATGTCCGCCGCTCTTCCGCCTTCTTGAAAATCTACCAAAATACTCAGATTGACCGTTCATGGCTGGACTTCGACTCTGCTCTTCCCACCAAAATGCATTCTGTTCAAGATCATGTTCCGAGAGCAGACCACAGAAGGCTCATGATTGTTAGACTCTTCGCTTTCCTCCTTCCACTCACGATTGAACTTCCCAAAAGTCTCAAAATCAACGCAAGATGAACGTATGAGTCTACGACGTCATGGAAACAAATGCACCGATTCTTCCTCTAAAATAACATTATCAAGATGCCATGGCAGAGATCTTCTGCTGCTTTCCAGTCATCCAAAAGAAAAAGGCTTGCAAGCTATGTTGTCGCGCTGGGTCGGTGTATAAAGCTATCCTTTGCTACCCGTAGACTTGTCTTCTTACATCCTCAAACTTCATACGGTTTTACACAAAAGAACCAAAAAGGTGGTTCATGTTGTCTCCTGTTGCTGGTGAAGCTTACCAAAATTGCTGTACTTCACTATCATGTCTCCAGCTCCAGAAGAATTTCCAATTCAAAATATTGTTCAAAAGCTGGAGTTCGTGCCACGATGTCCTACCAAACTACGGTCTATACGTTCTATGTGCGAGTTGGACTCCTCGTCGTTCAAAATGTCATCGGATTCATCGATGAAATAAGTACGAGGATTCATCTCGCGGGCCATTGTGTTGCTGTGACCCACCTGCATGGTATTCAGCTACACATCGGCGAGAATGATGTGCTCAAAACGCCACTGCTCAGATATATGGTCTTTTCTCCGTTCCAGATCCTTCGGACGCAACGATCACGAGCTCTTGCCGCGGCTAACAAATCTTCGCGCTACCGGAATCGTGGAGTATATAATCGCCTGGTTTTTCGGTTCCTTCTACTTCCACAACACGATTTCGAAATACAATTACCTTTACCAAATAAGATGAAACAATTTGCCATGGCGCGCTGAGATTGAGAATTTCAAAAACACCCATATTCACACTAAATGATAGCCGCCACCGGTCTTGTCGAGAACAAATTGCATCAAGGCTCATGCACGTGCGAGAGGACGTCACCTCTTCAAGCTTCAGAAAGCAAAAGCTGAGAAACCTATGGCTGTGGCGGCGGCGCCAGTATAAAAGCTCAGCTTATACTACCTCCTTACTCTTCCACTCCACAATATCCAAGTTTTGGCCTCCAAAATCGTCGACCAATCGTGGGAACGAGAGTGTTCCTGCGGAGAGCAAGATAAAATACTCTTGGACCCAGGAGAAATTTCTGCGGTCGTCCGGCTGTTCAAAAACTCCATTGTCGAGTTTTCATGTGTGCTTCTCGAGAGCACATTGATTTTTACCCCATTACTCAAACTGTAAAGATAGAGACGGCATGATTGAGAGTTCCTGCAAAACTCTTAGCATCCAGTTTTCATTTTCCAAATAACAGCTCCCTGTTACATAAACGTCTTTTCCGGAAGCACAACAGAAAAGAGCGCAGACCTAACGTATGTGTGCGCTGTTCTTTCGGGCTGGGAGCAAGTATATAAACCTCTGAGAGTTCCTCCAGGTCTCCCTTCATACACTCACTCCGTGGAGTTACACCAAAACCGACAAATGTTCGTCAAATGTCTGCTGTTGCGAGTCGAGGACTTCAAAAGAGTTGCCACTCTCTTCGATAATCAAACATTGTCCTGCCCTGAGTATGTGTTGGTCTAAACTTTTGACCCCTCAGCTTCGCGGTGTCGCAATTTTGGCTGCAGTGGTGTAGTCGTTATAAATACTCCAGCTTCTGCGCATTCTTACTCTCTTTCCTCATAACTTCTCTTCGTTGACTTCCAAAACGCAGAATGGCAAATTTCATGGTGGTTTCTGGGAGAAGAATACAAAAATGCGACCAAGATGACTCATGTCTGTGGAGGTCCGGATATCCGCATCATATCTCCAAACCATGATGTCTGCTCTTCGAGATCAGCATACCCATTTCAATATTCTGATTCAAAAGGAGGAAAGAGAAGTCGATGTTCGGGTCGCTGAGAATCTGCAAAAGCTCGGCATACAAAGAGCTGTCACTTGCTTTACAAGGTGTCTCGTTCTCGGAGGACTAGAAAGCGCATTCATCACTTTGCATGTGCGGGATCGTCTTCCAGACCAAGACTCAGTGGGTATATAAACCTCTAAGATTCCCTGTGTATCTTCTTCTTTACACTCGGTTTGCGTTGTGATCTGAAAGTAGAACCTTGGATGCAGATGTCTGCTGTGAGAGTCGAGAGGAATCAAAATTACGCCTGTGTGGTTCGATGATCGGAAGTGGTCTGGTGGTTGACCATGTGTTCGCCTGATCTGTACTGATGTCTGTTTGCCTCGATTTTGTCGATCTCAAGCTGGTGACTCGCAAAGAACGTCAAAGCTTTGGAGCCAGTGCCATGTCCTCAAGTTTGGTCTTCTGACCCCTCAGCTTTGCGGGGTCGCCACTTCCCTGGTGATGATGATGCTCAGCAGCAGCTGTAGGCGCCAGATGCAGCCACCCTGACGGTGCACCCAAACTGTGGAGCCAATACGGCGATGGCGCAGGATCGTTAGCCTCTCGTGAAGTCGGGTGCTAGCGGGCAGATCCTGATTGCTGGCTCAAGCTTCCGCTACGACGCTATGTTCCACCACGATGCCAGTTGCATAATGTCGTCCAAGTGTGCATGAAGATGTTGACGTTGTAGACGTGATAGCTACCCGGCAAATTGCATCATGAATGATAGAAAGCAGCTGGTAAGGATTCAATCCATATCGGCTATCCGGCTGTGGCGCGTAAGCGACCGTAGTCTGTCCCGAAGCAGCCATCAGCAACGTACGACGATGTGGTTTTGGTGTAGCCATAACAACAGCAGGAAGATGCAGACAAGATCAGTGCATACATGCGGCATTTCCAGGTCTTATCGCACAACCGGATGGGCTAGGATGGCGCGCATCGACGGTGTTTTGCAGCGAACCCCGGTAAAGCGTCGTCATTGTTTCGTTGCACTGGCCTCAACCCTGTCGCCAGCCTCGCGACCCGCCAACGCCTCCAACGATTCTGCATCAACACCAGCATGCCAATGTTCAGATAAGGACGGCGCGTCGTCCTAGTACCCCTCGTATCCTTGGACTACCTGTCTCGCCACTTGAAAGGCTGCCGATCATCCGAGTAAGTCGGATGCGGCGTTGGGTCGCGGTGAGGGCCCTGCGGTGATCCCGTCGCTCGTTACTTCACGATTTACGACTAGACTCGGTTCTCCTTGGCAGCTTGCGACGCCCTTTCCTCAAACACCCAAGCACGCCCGCCGTGCATTTTCTGCACTCAACAAGTCGACGTCGTTTCCATGGGCTCCTGCTGCGCTAGCATCGCATTCCAGCGCCCTACCTGAGCCCATTGAGCCCCCACTGTCGCTTCAGACGCTTCCGGAAATTTGCCGACTCACATACTCGCCGAGGAAGGTGCGCTCGACGCTGCACTCCTCTAATATCAACACGGCAGGCACGACTCTCGTTGTACTGCGACGTCCACCCATAGATGCGACTGCGCTCCTCCCCAGACCGAAGCCCCGAGCATAGCCATCCCGAATCGACTGCCGACAATTCACCCGCACCACTTCCGGAACATGTGGATAGACTCGACGCTCAGACTGAAGGATTGCTAGTGAATGCGCAGGGCGGGGTGAAAGAGAACAGGCCCATGAACCACACAGACGTGCCTTCACAACGAATGACGACCCACCCTCTCGCTATATCCGAATCTCTCACCACCGCACGATCACCCATGGCGCACCCAAAAGCAGACTCCACCATGGGCGCTTTAGTGAAAGACAGTCCACCGCACACCATGGTCGCGGACCACAACAAGAAATGGCGCCACCGGCTTCGCTCTCCGTGGGCATGTTCGCCCTGCACTCTCTTGACGACATTGGCGGCCTTTGTTGCCATGTTCCTTATGGCCCAGTCATTCTTGACGCGGCAATTAGACGTCAAAGGCTGCGGCATGTCCTACATGCGGCCCAGCTATAAGAGATACAACGATTTCGACACCGAACACACGCGCTTCGCAAGCAAATACTCGCTGTATTTATACCGGGAAGGTAGCTTGGATGAGGATACCAGGGCATGTGCTTCGTCTCGTGCGAAGTGAGAAATGCTGACATCATATAGGTCAAGGGCGTGCCAGTGCTCTTCGTCCCTGGAAACGCTGGGAGCTACAAACAAGTACGCTCCCTCGCCGCCGAAGCCGCGTACCACTACCACAACACCGTCCAACACGATGCCGACGCCGGCAAGGCCGGGAAGAGGCCACTCGACTTCTTCTCGGTTGACTTCAACGAAGACATCACCGCATTCCACGGCCAAACGTTGCTAGACCAGGCCGAATACCTCAACGATGCCATCACATACATACTATCCCTATACCACACCCCGGGCAAGTTTCTGCGCGACTCTAGCCTGCCAGACCCAACTTCGGT